GTCGTCACTGCCCGCCGCCGCTGCCCGTTTCCCAGCTCGTCTTGACTGCCCGTCGTCTTCGGTACTGTACCGATGCGCCAAATGCCATGTGTCTCGCTCTCTCTCTCTCTCTCTCCCCCCCTCTCTCTCTCTCTCTCTCCTCCTTCGTCATCCTTTTTTTTTTTTCGTCGACGTATCACGAAACCGGCAGGTCCTCCTCCTCCTCCTCCTCCTCCTCCTCCGTCATCTTTTTTTTTTTCTTTTTTTTTCCGGCAACGGAGTCGCAACGCAAAGAGACGTTCACAAGATTCTCTGCTCTGAGGATGTGGGCTCCTCTCAGCGAGCGCACTCCAACCCCATCTTAAAAAAAAAAATAAAAAAAAATTCCAGGGATGTTTTTTCACTCGTCTGGTTTTGCCGGACGGACCCCCCCCGGTCCGTCTGGCCCGGTCCATCTGGGCCCGGACGTCGGCCTAACCCACTTTTAAAGTATTAAAAGAAAAAAAATTATTGGCTGAGAATTCGGGTACGACTCCCAGGCAGAAGTTGTTTTTCTTATTCTGCACAACATACTTTTTCAAAGTTTTTCTCAGACTTTTTGGAATTTTTTTTTAAACGTATGGGTACGTGCGATTTTGGGTTCGTACGCGTACGCAGGAATACATACTCGTACGGGGTGCTACCCAGGAAAAAAAGGGAAAAAACGACTGCACTTGAAAAAAAAGTGTTTCTGCAGAAAACACAGGAAGCATCGCTTTGGCCCATGCATATTTATTTTACTTATTTACTAAGAAAAAACTGAGGTGCATGGTTGGTTGTAACAGGTGTCTGTGGTGTTGAGGCTCAGCAGGTATGTAAGTGGCACCAACAAGGACCTTTGGCCCATGCATATTTATTTACGTATTCACTCAGAAAAAATTGAGGTGCATGGTTGGTTGGTGTCTGTGGTGTTGAGGATCAGCAGGTATGTAAGTGGCACCAACAAGGAGGGAGACTACATGTGAATGGAGGCTGGGTGAGGATCCCAGTCTGTTTCCTTGGTGGATTGGGAGGAGCCTCACCTCATTCATTCATTGAATACTGTCTGTCTATATTCGTGGATATTTCCAAGAAACTAAAGTAAAATGATTGACACCGGACCCGAATTTCCGGCTTCATTAATTAACACGAAAAGTTCGTTTAAAGTTTAAATTTTGAACAAAGAAAAAGAAAAAGGCAAAAACAACACGCTTGGCAAATGTATTTGCGGCAACTTTAAACGATCATGACTGCGTGCTCTGTACCATTACGGTGGAAGACAGGTACTAAAGTTCAAAGCTCATTCTCACAAGGTTCAAACACACCGTCACCTAAGGGGAGAAAGAGAGGGAAGAATGAATCACAAGTCGGCAGCAGGAGGTACAACTCACCGGAGAGGATCGTGCCAAAGAGATTTGTACACCAGCCTTTTCATTTTCCCAAAGGACCAGGGATTTATTCCCCAGTCTGTAAACACCCGTAGTCGGTCATCGCCACGCAGTTTAGACAGGACCTTGTACAGTGAGGCTCTCTGTTCGTTGACGGTTGCTTCGGCACTTCGGCGCCATATGCGTGCGGTTCTGTCCTTCAGCCTTTCAAGCTCCTTAACCTCTTTCATCAACAATGGCGGTCCTTTTGTAGGTGTTGACTGGTATAGCTGCAGCATCTGATTTTTCACACACAAAACAGAAAGAAAAAGATGAAGAGAGAGGGAAAAGAAACAAGAGTCAGAGGCCCCGACATGTGTGACAGAGCACAAGGCGACCACACGTGTGCGCTTGTGACAGAAAGAGAGGAAACCAGAGTCTAAAGCAGATGCACAACCACCGAACAGGATTAGAAAACAAAGGGGGGTTTGTCAAGCAGAAGACTGCCATCAAGGCACTCAAATAATACAGAGACCAGCAGCCAATACTACATAACCTAGAAACCTATGCCCACAATTCAAAGCAGAGCTAAGCATGTGCCCAACAGCAGGCATTTTTTCCTCGATTCGTATACCGTTTCATCCTAGTGAGTGAAGGATATACGGCAACACACACATCTTTCAAACGATCCCAGTTTGTAGGCAGAATTATTTGTACGCTCATTTCCAAAGCCGTAAGCTGTGCTTGTGCACAGATGTTCACTGCTCTCACAACAGGCTATGCAATAATATAACCAAAAAGCGGGGGGCGGGGGGGGAGATCGGTATGAAAGGGTTTCACCCAGTGCGCACGACAATTGCAGATACCAGGACTCGATCCCCAGACCTCCCCTAGTCCACTGTACAGTTGTGTAGACATTCAGGGTAGATCCTAGTGCATGTGTACGTGTGTGAGTGAGTGTGTCTGATGGTGGATACAGTGTTCAGGTCGGAATTTCAGACTGGCGCCCAGACGCCATAGCCACAAGATTGGACGAGTTGACTTCAGCTGAGTTTGTGGCCGAGGGCCATAGCCGCAAGATTGGACGAGTTGACTTCAGCTGAGTCTGTGGCCGAGGGCCATATCTCTGAGTTGTCTGAGTGGGTGCACTGCGCCATCTCACGATTGTTGCTGATTCTGCTTTGAGGAAGCTGTTTTGCCATCGGCACCTGCATGTATGCATATTAGAAGTGAAATTGAGATGAGTCCAATTGCATGTAGTAGGGGAAAAAAATAAACCTCGTGGGTGCTGTGATATACAGGCGCAAGCTCACAAACATGTTTACATGAGACGATAGATAGAGCCTGTGAGACTGCTGCGACGACCCCCCCCCCTCCTCTAGCGACTCCGCTGCTGCGTGCCTCGGTGCTGCGAGTAAGACTCCCGAACACCAGGGGAGCCCCCAAAAAGGGCTCCTGATGGGGCAAAGGGTCGGTCCGTGACAGCCTACCCCTTGGACAGGTGGCTAGGGCCACAAGGGTAAGGCAACTCTTGAATCTGCAATGCTTCCCCTTCTGCGCTGTGGAACTATGCTTGCCGGTGATAAGCAACCGGACTGATGCCCGCCAGAAAAGAAGGGGTTTTGTTTGTTTGAAGCAGAAAAAAACAAAGGAAAAAAACACTCACCATGGACAAAAACCAGTGTAAGAGGAGAGCAAGCTAAGTCCAACCCCACCCAGCGAGGGGGTCACCTGGAGGCAGGACTTCATTCACAGCCAAACAGCTGAGGGACCCGGCTGCGGATCCAATACAAGCGAAGCTGGGTGAAGCTCCCAGCAATTTGTCACAGAAAGTTGTTACAAGAATTGATGTATCAGGGACACAGGACCCGCTTACCGGCACGGGCTGCTCCCCTTACACTGGTTACCGCCTCCGCAACCGAACTGATGCAAAAAAAAAGAACAAAATCCAGGTAGACAGCCGAATGCACCGTCGACCCATACACGGTAATTGAATCACGGATGAGACTACCATCTTGGGCCAGATAGAACCCCCGGTCATTCTGGTTGTATTTGGGGCAACTTTCAGATGAAATGGTATCACCCAGCAGACACGACATTTGCAGACACAGAGATTCGATCCCTACACCTGTGCCCAAACCTTGTACATTGACCCTGTGTGCTGAGTGAGATTCGATCCCTAGACCTACCCTTTACCCTGTACCTACGCCCAGTGATCTGTGTAAGACTCGATCCCTAGGTCTGTCGATTAGGAGTTAGGTCTGTTACCGTTAGGCTTAGGAAGGTCTATTCTAGAAGTCTCTATCTGAGTCTACTGAGGCCTAAAGTCTGTTTGTAAGTCTGTAGGCTCTGGAAGGTCGTAGATCCCTGTAGGCCAGTCCAATCAGCAGGTACCAGGGGTAGGGGCTGCACGTGGGGAAGGTTCTGGATCACGATGTGCGTTCCACACGTTTTGGCCAGAAGGCCAAACGTCTGGAAGCTTCCCTGGGTCACACGTTTTGGCCCAGGCCCACACGTTTTGAGGCAGGGCCCGGGTACCTCTGAAGAAGTATAAATAAAGAGGCAGCGTCAAGCCATTCATGCATTCGCCTGTGAGCCATGCGGAAGAGCTGCCTTGGCATCTTGTGCGTGGAGGTCTGCTGGTGACCGGAGAGGAAGTGGGCTGTGAAGAAGACAGCGGCCATAGCGAACCAGTGAGGGAGACACCGGCGGCCATAGCCGCCCAGCTGTTGGTGTAGACGGAGTGTACAGAGTGTGAGTGGCTGTGCAGCGTGGACATTCAGGGTGATCCTCGTACGTGATTGCATGCGAGAGTGTGGGGAAGTGAGGCTGGTGGTAGAGACAATGTTCGGCGGCCATAGCCGCAAGTTGTACAGTTGATTCAGACTCAGTGTAATACAAGTCTATTGTTGTTCTGAGTTGGAAGAGTTCGATTTTGCCATCGGTTCTCAAGTGTGCACGTTGCCAGCAAGTCCAAAGTCAAGTCTGATTGCACAGACCAGAATTGCAATGCAAACAACTTTTGGCTGAGGGACACATCGAAATTCCTCATGGAATCGAAGACAAAAACAGAAAACAACATAATTAGAGATTATTAGACTAAGGCAGCCCTTTTAAACTGCCTTTAGCCCTTTACTAACCAATACATACCCCCTCCCCGCCCCCGTGCCCCGTGTGCTTGGAAATCTTGCACGCACAGCTTAGTCAGATTACACACACTGCTTACCCTATCTATTGGGTCATTGGTTGAAATCCAACCTAGCGAGCTGTTCTATGTTCAAATATACGGTCGACCGACATTACACTCTAATCTAATCTAATTAGATTAGAGGCGTTGTACAAGCAAACTTTGTTGCTTGCCTCTCTACTCTCGTTGTGAAGCAGCCTGCAACACCTTGCGGGCGGCCAAAAAGACACTAACCCCACCCGTGTGTCTTGGTGGACGCGTGCATGAGCGCATACATAAATAAAAAAAAGCTAGTTGTTTTGTTGTTGCGGCTACATAGACTCTTTTAGGTGAGTTGCATTCTTCGCACAGCTGGATAGAGCAACAACCTTCTAAGTTAAAGATCACACGTTCAAATCCTGTAGGATGCTGCATTCTTCAGGAGAGTGGGCGTTCTCAGCCAAAACTCCAAATAAGAAGCCAGGATTTGGACTCCTCCAGGCATGCGCCCAACAACCCCTCCTTACCTGGCCTATCTCACTCGGTACACCCCTTAACTGTTGAAATACAAACCTGAGTTCAAACTCCACTGAAGTCTGATGACTAAAATACTCAATCTCGAATTACCTACGACCTGTCAGTTTGATGATCATAACTCAAGGCCATCGCCCTTTTTCAAAAAAGGAGAAAGAAAAGAAGGTACGGATGGAATCCATGTATCTGGTCGGTTAAAAAAATATATATATAAAAAAATCCTTGGTCAACGAATACATAGTCAAAGTCATTGCATCTATATTGTAGCATACCTTCTTTCTCTGACAGGCTGCACTATGAAGTCTAATTTTACTATATATCGTCTAGTAAAAATCGCATAATAAAAAAATAACACCATAAAATGAAACACACGTTCCCTGGCCTCATGCCTCCTCCGTTTGACAGAGACAAGGCAAGGCAAACACCACTGTGGACTTTGACCCATACTTCTGGTACACCACGTATGTAAACAGCCAAAGACACGGTGATCGCATACCAGATAGCCCTCTGCGCCCCCCCGTCTGACCCAGGCCTGATTGGCACATGGCCTGGTGAGGCCCAATGCCCTGCCTGGGTGGCCCCAATATCCAGGGGGTAAAACTGGACAAGCCTGAAAGAAAAGGAAATCTGACCTCATGCCCAATCTCCACCTGCCCTGAGCGGTCCAAATCAAGCAACATCTGGGGGCCAAAAATCAGGTCAAAAGGGGTTCAGAAGAGTTTAAAAGGGTGTACCTGAATTTATTTCTTGGCAACTCTTCCTATTATATTATTCCGTGCTGAATTTCGTGAGATAAAATTACGAATTGACCCTCGGCCAGCTGTCTGGCTGCAGGCGGTGGCATTCACAAGCCTGGCTGCACCTGGCAGTATAGCCGGTGGCAACGACTGGAAGAGAGCCCCTCGAGGGTTCAGGGTTTAAGCAGGCAATGGGCCTCAGGCAGACTGAGAGGGAAGAGTCTAGCAGTTTTTGGTAGCAATAGATGAGGCAGAAGTTTTAGAGCAGGAGAAAGGGAGAGGTAACAAGAGGCCAGTAGCAATAGGCTAACTTGCACAGGGGTGAGGGGAGGTACATCCTTCCAGATTGCAAGTAATCAATGCTGCCCCGCCCCGCCCGCTCGGTTCTCTCTACCATACTTTGGAGAAGCGCTGGAGTGTGTTGTGTTCTGTATTCTAACTTGCTGGTGGAATAGGAACAGGACTGACGCTCCCCTGAGTGGATATGGAACCCGAGGCATAAGGCTCTGTTTTTCCTTTTTTTTTGGGCAAAAAAAAGACCCTCAGCCAAAAAATTACTCGTGCCGCACGCAACAATTTTCTTTTCCATTCGTTTTTCTTCGACAACGCTGGGGCTCCTTTCCATTCGTTTTTCTTCGACAACGCTGGGGCTACCAGGGACCTGACCCGATTGGACTGCCCACTGCCCAGGCACTCTAAGGCACCCCAATTACCCGGCCACGCAAACTGCAAACATTTCGATTTTTTTTGTACTAGAGAAAGGAGTTTCCGTCTCCTGTCTTGGGACACAGGAGCCTCTATTCCAGCCAGTTTGACCCGCGCCCTTTTTCATGATCCAGGTGGATCTGGTCCTTAAGTGCTT